TCATGTATATATAGGTTCAACTATAATCTACAGGCACTCTTACATTGATCTAAATGGAATTATTTGCAATGATCAGATGACAAGGAGTGAAATCAATTGTAGCAACACAACACACACATATATAACAGATAATTTTCTTTTTTAAATAAGTAGATAAATACATAGACATGAAAAGAATTACATATCACACAAAACCGGTATGCATATAAATTAAAATTGATGGTTATAATATTCTAACAGTGATGTATCTGATGTAGATTTATATTGTAGATTTTATCAACACAAAATTATTCTAGAGAAAGGATATTTAACATTAAGAATTATAGAAAATTGAATCTATTTGATTCCAAGTGAAAATATATATATATATATATATATATTTTCAGTTATCTGTTTTGGATAAGACTTGTTTTTTATGTCCATCGTCTTTGTCAAATTGAACTGAATTGTATTTTAATGAATATTGTCCCGAAGAAGGTTTATTAAACCGAAACGTCAGATGTCGACATTTCATTCATTTTAAACAACATAATTGCATTTAAGGATTTTTGTTTGTTTTTTCCAAATTTTTCTTCATTCTGTCGGATCTATATCCATTTACATTTGCTTACACACATATATTATATAATATTTGCCATTTTTCAGTAGACATTAAATTTATTACCTTAATTAAAATACAAACTAATAAAACTTAAAACATTCCAAGATATTAAAAACACTTTTAGATATTAAAAAATATTCAGTATCTTATACTGTGTTTGAAATTAGTCAAATATTAAATTAGTAATGGCATGTGTATATAATATTTTTCATGTAACAGTCAACAGTAAATCAATCCTTTCATTCACCTATGAATAAACTAAAATAGGTTACCAAATTAGATCATTTTAAGTTCTATTTATTTTCTCTGAGATTTTTGCTTCATAACTGAATCTTGTTTAAAACACCATCATATGGAAAACAATAATTTAAAAAATAAATTTGAGTTTATAGAAAACAACAAAGAAGATAGTTAAATTTTTTTTAAATTATATAGTCTGAAAATGATAAAAATGAGAGAAGCCACTTCTAGAAATTGTATAAATGTGATTATGTTGAAAAATATATTTCTAAACTATTTCAAAAGTATTTTCTTCTTGAACAGTCTTTATAAGTTTATGTAAGGCAATTCAGTCTCTTTTATTGTCTATAGCCTCATTAATATGGCCTTGTAATTTACACATCACACCCTGTATATATTCAGCTAGGTGCTTATTAATATCACTAACTTATCAACTTAAATAAAATCTTACTTTTGTCTAAAAACTTTTAGTTAAATGTCCCTTATAAAACACTACTCCTTTTCATTCCTTATAAATTATTACGTAATTATTTGAATACCCATTTTTATCTTTGCAATTTGCTCTATTCTGATATATGAACTTGCTAAATTGAAGATAAAGATGAAATTTGTGATTCAGAATAAAAAGGCTACTGTATTAAATCTAATAAAAGTACTATCAAACTGTGTATTTTAGATTTAAGAGAGCCAAATATATACTATAGTTATTTTATTTAATAGCCATATGTACAAACTGTAAAACTTATCCAATGCAAGATAGCAGGTTTTCACCTTCATTGTATTCTGAAGGCAATGGTTTTTATTAAATTGGTTGGAATTCAAATAATCACATTTCACCCGCTTTTCTTTTTTCTTTTTGTTCAAGTAGGAAACACTATTAGTCATAAAGGAATCACATTCTTGTAGGAGTTATTTTAGGAATAAATGATGAGTGGGAATAAACTAGTTTTGTGGTATCTCATCAGATCATAACAAATTGATAAAAAATTTCTATTATTCCAAGAATTCAGCATCTCTCATTTTAATGGATTCAGATTATTTTTGTTGCAATACTAACAGACATGTAAGCTAAGTGGAATCACAGAAAGAATTAGAATTATTATTTATTGTCAGTCACATTATTAATATTTTACTAACAAAAATACAATTTAACTCCTTAATATCTATCCAAAATATGAACATGACTTGCTCAAATAAAAACTTTTATATACCATTCTCTATATTTTTGCTTGTATTTACATAAAGCAAATTTATATTTTTGTAGGAAATCTTTTCTCTTTAATGTTTCAACAGTTTTTTTTTGTTTTTTTTTTTTACATGTGGAAGAGGTTATTATGTTTGTATTTTCTACCAGTATGTTAGAACCATTAGAACCCATTTAAACACACACAGACACAAACTTACCAAACTCCATCTGAAAAATACTGGTAGAAAATACAAACGAAATAACCTCATCCAAATGTAAAAAAAAGATTAAAAATAATGGAAGCCTTAATAATAAAAAAGAAAAAGCCAACACTCAATAATATTAATTACAGTCTCAATGTGCTGTGTTCAGAAAATAAAACATCCCTATAACTCTAGAAACATACACACACAATCCATACAGTCAGTTATGTGTCATGTGTGAGACACACTTAGGCGATCATGTATCTTTCAATACATGACTGACGAGGCAGGTTTTTTGACCTATAGTAGGTTGCCATTTCTTTCTACGGTAGACTACTTGCCATCCAGTTCTATAGAACTCAGTCTGTCTTGCTATTTACCCATATCTTAGAGAGAAGAGGATTAATACCTTTCCCAAGGGTATTAGCACATAAGTGAATGTAATGGATTCGACAGAGTTCAAACTCAGCTCTGATTCTTCAATCTGAGCTGCTATCCATTACTTCACACACCCAGTTAAAAAGTAAAAATAAAATCATCCTTGATATTGGCTGAAAGTATAGCCAAAAGCGCTCAGAATTACAGAACATTTGGGCAGTTTCTACACAGTGTGTGCACAGAAAAGAAAACACTTGTTTGAACACAAGAAAAATTAAATAAAAAGCTTAATTGCAGTACCTTGTCTGCCATCTTTAATGAAACATGTATAAATGAGGGATTTCTGCCTAAATACACAATATATATATATACACACACACACACACACACACACTCCATAGGCCAAAAGTTTGGGGCCACTCTCTGGATTTCCAAGAAATACCTAAAATTTTATCTTCCTGGAGTGTTTTATATTTTAAATAATAATGATGATTAACATTATTCGGACTATTGTCCTCATCTTTGTTGCCATATTTATTACATTCTGGCCTTCTTCAGGTGGTTAGAATTTCGAACTGAACTCTTTCTTTCACTCATTGGGGTAGACTGTTCTAGTTCCATGTTTAATGGATATCAGTTACCAGTTATCTCCTGTTAATTCCCCACTCCAAGTTCTCCACTGCCTTAACCGGGTATTGAATTTACACTCCTTGGGTCCTGTCACTAGATCTAACTAACGCCATTATCCACTGTGCCATGTGTCCTCAAGGACACATGGCACAGTGGATAAAGGTGTTAATTAAACCAAAGACATAAAATTTACTAATTATTAAATCAAGATGATAATCTCAAATCTTTGACTCTCTCTCTCTCTATATATATATATATATATATATATATATATATATATATATATATATATATATATATATATATATATATATACACACACACGAGAGAAAGAGAAATATCCAATGCTGTGTGCGGCTTGGAACATTAGAAAATCTCCAAGTTATCCCACTACTCTAGAAGCACAAATTAATATTATCAGCTATTAGACTATTATTGACCACAAATTAACAAGTAATTTAGAAGATTTACAAAAAAAAATTATTTGTAAGTGGAATTCTCAGTGTCTGCACATTTGTAAAACACTAGAAAAATGATTCTTGTTGATAAAAAAAAACTTGACTATATCAGTTTAATATAGTTTTATAATGAAACTTGCTTTTTTTAAACACATATAGACATGTATATGCATGATGTTTATCCTGAAAAGCATCTGCTTGCATAAAAACATTTAATTTTTCATATCTTTACGTTGCTGGTCAGAATTCTTTTATATGGGAAATTTTTACAATTCAGAATTGTTCTTTAGATTGATTTCAACAATAGTCATATGATCACAACAAAGTTGTTTCCCCTATGCAAAGATTTCATGGCAAAATTAGTTTCAACTATTTCCAAAATATTCAAAATGTCAGATTAAAACAATTTTGTGAGAGTGTACCAAAAATTTAAAATTTCAATCAAAAAGAAACTTTCATATCTAAGAGAAATATCTACCGTATATTTCCATGGACAAGATGATCATTAAAACCCAAGAATTGCTGTTAAAAATTAGGAGTCATCTTATAGTACAATTCTAAAAAAAGAAAATTTAAACTCTGAGTGATGTTTTTCAATAGGCTAGCCTCTGCCAATAACGTACAAGAAAAGATTCACATTATCAAATAAACTGATAATAAAAGTAATAAAACTATTTCTACCTTATATTTTACTGTCATAACCTCATAATAAATTAACCTATTGGAAGAATTTCATATCAATGAAATAAACTTTATCCATGCAAACTCAGCTGTGAAAATGTAAATATTGAGTTATGATTACAAATAAAAAAAATTTTGAATATATTATTATCGTACATTATCATACTGTTATTAGCAGTATTTTGTGATTGTCAAAGTATAAGTAAATGGCCATTAGTAAACCAGGCTATTTGTAACTGTTTAGATATAGGAAAATGAGAATGTTGAAACGTAAACAATGGTTTCCCTTTTAAGGGACGTGTAGAAAAAATATGATATTAGAATTAATTTTGTCATTTCATTTATTTTGAATTTCTAAAGATGCAGTTGTCTTATACTACAGGTATAGGATAAATTCATGAAAATTTGCTATATTTTTTGACCTCATCTTATCTAAAGGTTGCCTTATAAGCAGAAATATACTGTATTTAAAAATAATCTTTCACAACATGTTTAAATAAACAAAAATCAGCATGTTAAGTTTAAATGTAGAAATAAAATATTAAGTATTATTTTAGTAACATTATTAAAAGCAAAGAAAGAGATTTTTTTTGTGAAATGATATTCAAAAATATTTATCTTACATTTTGTCTTTCTCCAGTGATTTGTGCAAGTCGTACCATCTCGTTACCAAATTGACTGAATGCTTCCATGAAATCCGTAAAATTATAAACACGCTCTAGTTTTAGCAGGCTAGCCAATACCTGAGAAAAAGAAAAGAAAGAGTTATAAGTAACTAAAACAAAATAAGGGAAAAAAAAGAAACATCAAAATGAAATTCTCAATACTTATTCTATGAACTGCAATAAATTCCCATTATCCAAAGTTAATGAGATAATAATAAATCTAAATTGTGTCTTTTTGACGAACTAACACTTTTGTAATGGTCAAGCTGGACTAAGAGTTTGTGTTGATTATTATTATAGTTATTTTTTATAAGTGTTCTTGAAAGCACCTAATGAGTATTGCACATGAGTAATCTATACAAGACAGGGGTATTCTTTTAATTGATGAATTTCACATCCCCATAATTTTTGCAGTCTTTATTTCATAGCAGAAATAATATCGCTTATGATCTATATTTACATTTAATAAGATGATTAGAAGTTGAAAATTAAGTTTAGAATAAACCAATATTTAAAAAGGCTATCCCATCAGTAGGTGTATAATATCAAGATTATTGTACTACTATTTTGTGAATTGGATCTGGACCATGCAGCACTTGCCAGTGGGGCCTCTCATATCATGATGAAGTTACAGCTGGACAATTTAATCCAATCGATGCATGTACTATTTATATGTGCGATTACTTCACTAGCTTGTCTTCACACATTTCAAAATCTCAATACATTTATCCACAATAATATCAAATAAAATATATAAACCAACCTCACAAGCACAAAAGTAGATCCCAAGTTCAGCATCTCCTACACAAATATGAGGGGTCTATGATCCAACTTTCCAGAAGTTGAACACCATCTTCACAAGGTCAAACTAGATCTTGTGTTCTTGTTGGAAACTGGTTTTAGCCTATATATCATAGTGCAGTATTTCACAATCTCAGACTAATTGCTCCTAATAGTAAAACAAGACACTTGAAATGGCCATTGTCAGCCTTGGTTCATGCCAGAATGTGCTGCAGCCATAGCCCACCATAAACCTACTACCATCTCTACCATAGAGAATGATGTAGTAAGACTCTTGTTGTATTCCAAACTGCTTGCAATCATTGCAAGAGAGTTCTAGAACAAGCAAAGAGCAACTATGCACAATCAAGCCAAATCAAGGTTGAAAACAAAAGACTTGGTTTCTATAAGTTCTTGAAAATATTGAATATAATTTTCAATAGAGGCAATGCATCATAAATTCAGAAGGCTATCAGTTCAGATAAAATCCCAATGATTGTTAAGAACATCAGCCAAGAGTTATAGACAATCTTGGCAAAACTGTTTAACTGCTGTCTGAAGGAGTGATGTTTCCCAAGTCTATGGAAGATGTCAATTATGTGGTGTGTTTTTAAGAATGTAAGCAGAGCAAACACTCATCCCTGTTGCAATATCAACCTATTAGCATCCATAGTGTTATTAGCAAACTGTTTGAGTCTATAATCAACAAGAAGATTGTTAAAGACCTCAACAGGAATAACCTCCTGAGCAATAACCAGTATGGATTTTGATCAGTAGGTCCACAGTGAGGCATTAGACAATAAATTCATCATGAGGATCATTACCTTAGATATATCAAAGGTTCTTTGACAAGGTGTGGCATTGGGGTTGTTACATAAACTCTCCAGTTATGGAATCTCTGGAAGTGTTTTCTCAATTATCAAGTTCTTCCTAACAGGTAGGACCATGTTGGTTATTGCTAACAGTCAGTCCCAAGCCCATGTGATCAATGCTGTCATTCCTGAAGGTCCTCTTTTCAGTCTTACCTTCTTTCTCTCTGTATCAATGATCTGCATAAGAACATAATCAGATCTTTAGTGAATATCTATTTAGACGATACAAGAGTTTATAGGTGCACCTCCAAAAATGGGTTCAAACTTGCTTTGTTACTAATATTTTACAGAATGAGGTTTGTATTTCATTGATTATGTATGATTGGATATTGAAAAGTTCTCAGCTGAACAAGAAGAACTTCTACCCCAAAATTCTGATTCTAGATTGTAGAAAGTGTGTGTGTGTGTATAAAATGTCAGCCAAATCATGACTTTATCTTAATTATCTTAGTTCAATGAACAGAACAAAAAGGGAATAAACTTTCCCACCCATGCACAGTGAATAAACAAAATTTTAAAAATAGGGATAAAAAATATAGTTTTTTGGCAACCCAGAGTTCACAGCAAATCCATAATAACTATGCAAATCAAGAAGAAGCATTTAAGTAGGTTACTTTTTTAAAGAAGCAATGATAGCAAATACTCAAAGAGTTGTCATAAACAAACTAGAGAAATTTGATATATAGTGAGAGAAAGAAAATATCAACTTTAACCTTTCAAGGTTGGCAAAAACAAAATGAGGCTAAATTTACTTCAAGTAGAAACCAATGACCATGAAAGGTTGTCTATTAAATGTCTTATCCCAGAATAAGTTGTTATTGCCATCAAAATGAATCAGTAAATTGCAAAAATCAACATTATTACCATCACTGTGATTATAATAATTATTACAGCCAGCATAAATGTTGTCAACAAGATAATTTCACTTCTATTAAATTCAATTTAAAGCTATATTTCATCATAAAAAAGATATAGATCATTGGCATGATGTGACCCATGATTTTAAGATGTTTTTATCTGTTTCAATATGGATCAAAATTGGATCATGATATTTTGAGTTTTCCTTCTTGAAGACATTATCTTGATAGAAGAGAAATTATTTTAACCAGTTTGGAAAAAATATTTGTATGGCATTCACTAAGAAAGCATGTTATAAATCTGTGCTTTCTGATATATCTAAATTTAATGTCTCCTGTACTCTTCATGCCTGGTGGAGTTAGAGATAGCAGTTCAGATTGAGTCATCAGAGAGCCAAGTTCAAATTCCAGTCAAGTTCGCTACATTCACTTATGTACAAATATTTTTTTAGAAAGGTATGAATCCATCTCTCTCCCAGCTATAGATAAATAACAGGACAAACTGAGTCCTATAGCTTTGGGTGGCAAACAGTCTAGGAGAAGGACATGTCTAAATTCAAAAACTTACAACTATAGATTAAATAGCCTCATCAACTTGCAATTGTCTAAGCCTGGTGAGTCCAGCTATACCCCTGATTACATGGTCAATCAGGAAGGGGTTCCTCCAACAAGAATGAGAAGGTACTCATAATTAAAAACTAACTTTGGCAAAAGGATAAAAATAAAATATTGCTATTTAGAAGGAATAAATTAAAAAAAATTGGACTTGATTTTAAAAGTTTGAAATCCAAAATAGAGGCTGACCCAAATTAATTGCATCTGATATTCAAATATATGTAGACAATATCTGCTTGAAATATCAAAATTATGGGTTATATATATATATATATATATATATATATATATATATATATATAAGGTTAAGAAAATATGACATGAATAAATATTTCAGTTATTAAAATAAAATTGTTTCTTTTGTCTATCTGGATGAAAAATTTTCACTTTCTACAAAGAAAATTGCAACTAAAACATTAATAGGTGATTTAGAAATATATACAATGCTATGATTGAAATGAAAAAAAGATTTTTCATTTCAATCATAGCATTCCCACTTTATCTACTTAAGTTTTGTAATATTTCAGAATTATTTTATTATTGCAATATATTAAGAACTAAGCCAACCTATAAAAGAATACATTATGCATGCACATTCACTAAAGTGATTAAAAAACAATGAAAAAAATGTCTATTCTGGGAACTGGGAAAATTTCAATTTGGCATACTAAGTATGCAATACTAGTCAAACTTGGTGTGTACAAAATTCATATAATAAAATGTAAGTTCATGAAATTATATCTCAAACACATCATTAAATCATAGAAATACTTTATTAAAGATGAAGTTATTTTGAAAAACAACAACAAAACAAACTTATTGGATATCAGCCATTTTTATACTGAAATAGTGCATAAATAGATCATTTTAACATAAGAACTTGTATATGAAAACCTTAAGCAAATTTCAAAAGAAACATTTTCATTGTACCATTTTTCATAAACCATTAGAGTAGTGAAAATCTAGTCCTAAATTGATAAAAATGACCTTCCTTAAAAGAATGTTGAAGAAACCATTCATATCAAATATGGGTAATAAATAAAACTTAATGAAAAATGGTTAGTCAGTTGAGTAAAGAAACAAAATATGAGAACTTCTTTTTTTTACCCTGAAACAATTAAAAAAAAAATAATTGTTATGCAGAACAAACACTTTAATGTTAATGATGGTTCAACTTCAAAATATCTAACCAAAAAGGCTCATCATACAAGTAGAGAAAATTTCAATAATATAATAAATCTACATAATTGAAGTCATTTTAACATTTCAAACAGTTGAAATGTTACATTTATATGTAAATATAAATTTGTGCAAGAACACATTAAAATATCAAACAAAAATATGTATTTATCACATATATAAATATATATAATAATTATTTCTATGCACATGCATTATATATAAGAGAGAGAGATACAGAAAAGAGAAAGAGAGGGCAGCAAGTTGAGAGAGGGAGAGAAAGTGAGCAGCAAGATGAAAGATGTAATGAAAAAAGAAAGATTATGAGTATGTGAAGAGAAAGGAGAGTAACAGTGGCAAAAGTAGAGAGAATGGCCTCAAGATCAAGTAAAGGCTGCAACTGCATGAACCTAGAATTCTTTCTGGTGTATCATCAGATAATGATGTACCCTGGTTAGTTATAATATTTAATTTCCAAAACACTGCCTGATTCCGTAGTCATTATCTATTGCAGACATTGTTACTGTATTAAATTACACACACACGTACAGAGTAAATAAATGTTTTGTTTTGTTTTTTTTATTTACCAAATATAATCATTGACAATTATTCACTTTATTATAACCCCCAAGGGCAATAATTGCAATTATACTCCAGTGACATAAAAACTGCCAGGTTTTAAAAGGAAACACAACATTTTTGGTTAGTTAGGAAGTAGAATATAAACCAGCATCAAAACAGGAAATTGTATGTTGAACTGTGTGATCATACAATC